GTGGGATATTGGGAAGAAATTCCTCCCTGGGAAGGTGGTGAGGAGCTGGGATGGAATTCCCAGAGAAGCCGTGGCTGCCCCATCCCTGGAAGCATCCAAGGGATGCAACTTGGAGCAACCTGGCATAGTGGGTGGCATCCCTGCAGGTTAAACAAAATGACCTTTAAAATCCCTTCCCACCCAACCCATTCCATGATTGAAATGCCCTGGAGGGATCACCCGGAGCCGGTTGTCGTTCCAGGACTGGATTTGTCCGGGCCAGCAGCGTGATGCACCTCCGGGAGCAGCTCACGGACAAGGGACAATGTTCCAGCTTCACCAACGCTGAGAAAGGTCAGGAGCTCCCTCTGGAGCTTTTCCAGGGCTGCTTCCCTGTGTTTTCCCTCATCCAGGCACCAGCCGACCGCTGAATTTTGGGCTTTTCCCGGGAACGTGCTTTAAGGAGCCGGTGATTTATGGCAAAATTCACACGGAAAATGTTTTTGGCTTTTAAAACTTTCCGTATCCATAGAGCCCCTTCCAGAGCGTAAAGAGGCTCCAGGAGAGCTGGAGAGGGAATTGGGATGAAGGATGGAGGGATAGGACACAGGGAATGGGATTAAACAGACAGAGGGCAGGGTTAGGTGGGATACTGGGAAGGAATTCTTTCCTGGGAGGTTGAGGAGGGGCTGGGATGGAATTCCCAGAGAAGCTGTGGCTACCCCATCCCTGTAAGTGTCCAAGGCCAGGTTGGAGCAACCTGGGATAGTGGGAGGTGTCCCTGCCTATGGAAGGGGGTTGGAACTGGATGATCTTTACTGTTCCTTCCCAACCAAACCATTCCAGGATTCCATGAAAGTGCAGTATCCGAAGGCTGGTTTGCCTTTTCCATGCTCCCCTTGGGATTTGTGCCTTATCCAAGTGCTCTCAGCCTTTATCCCGGTTGCCCCCTCACCTGAAAAATGAAATTCCGGGTTCATGGAATGTTGGCTCGTGTTTCCCTGGCAGCTTTTGGCTCCCATCCCTTTTCCCTCCCCTTTCCAGATCCCGAGGAATTCCTCAACCTCATAATGCAGCAGATCCTGGGAATGGAGCCACTCTTGAAACTCCAGTAGGTTTCCACAGCTGAGGGATGCTATTCCCAGGTTTTCCACCTCACATTCCCTGGGTTTGAGGGTCACTTTTCCCTTTCCACGGAGCTTTTTGGAAGCACAGCTCCGAGTTCTGGGCAGCTCCTTCTGCTGTCCCCTGCGATCCTGCTTGTTGGGATCTTCCCAGCCAGGAAAAAACACTTCTGTGCTCTCCCTGGAAGGCGCTGCCTTCGGAAAATCGGGATAAAAAGCCTTGTCCCAGCCTCTGGGAGAGCCGAGAAGGGGTTTGAGGGCAGAGCCAGCGGGATCCAACAGCCTTTGGCTAAATCTGGGATGCATCCAGGCTGCCGAGCTGGCTCCCATCCCAGAGCCTCTCCAACAGGCAGCCCATGGATGCCATCCCAGGACTCCACAAAGGGGATGAGGGGCTGGAGGAAGCCAAAAGGAACAGAAGGGGATTGTTGGATCTCCGCGCTCCTTTGTGGATCCGGGAACGCCGGGAAAAGGCCGAGCACAAAGGGGGCCTCTGTGCTGCAGCTCCCCTGCATGGGGTTATCCCAAGGAAATCCTTCCCCTGCTGGATGGAGGCCTTGTGAGAGCTCTCCTGGAACAGCTCAGTGATGGGGATATCAATGGATCTCCCACCGGAGCAGCCGTTGGATTGTGGGGCTTAAAAGCCGCTCCCAGTATTTTTTTTAATATTTATATCCAGGAATTTTACCCATGGGAGCAGGATTTGGTGCTACAGGGGGGATAACAAGGCTGAAAATCCTACTTATTCCCCATTCCCATGGCACAAACGTGGGATTTCCACGTGGAAAAAGGGCTGGGTGTGGCACCAAACCGCCCCCGGTGCCTGGAGCCCGGAAGCTCCGGCGGGAGAATCCTCAGGGAGAATCCTCCCGCGGCACCACCTCAGCCATCCCACGACTATTCCCTGCAGGTCAGGAGGGCAGGAGCAGGATTGTTACTGCTACCAGATCTTCCTGGACAAGCAGGAGGATCTGGTGGTTCCCAACGTGCAGCAGCTGGTGGAACGTTCCTTCCTGTCCTCGGATCTGAAGCTGGTGGAGGTGAGGCCCTTCCCTCTGCTTCCCAAAATCCCTTCTAGGTCCCACATCCAACACCGAATCCAAGCCTGACTTGGGAAAAAGGGCTCGGCTTTCCCCGTTTCCCTTTTATCCCGCGAAAAGCCGCGGCGGGAAGTCTTCATTCCCAAATTTAGAGCGGAACCTCCGAGCTTTGGCTCTTCCGACTCCCTTTTCCCTTTCTTTCCCCCTTTCCTTTTCCCAGATCCCGTCCTGCTTCATTATCCAAATGCCACGTTTTGGGAAGGAATACAAAATGTTCAGCAAAATCATCCCTTCCTTGGAGCTGGACATCACAGACCTGCTGCTGGACAGTGAGTTGGGAATGACGGGCCGGGAGCTCTTGGGATCAGGGTGGGATCCTCCTCCTTCCCCGAGGAAGAATTCCCCACGGTTTTGGCGGGACAAGCTGGATTTCGGGGGGCATCTGGGGAAGCCCCAGCCTCTGTTGTCCCTGCAGGTCCCAGGGAATGCTGCCTGTGTGGAGACGTTGCCACCCTGGAATGTTTGGAATGTTTCCAGGACCAGGTGTTCGCAGCCACGGGCCTGAAGCAGTTCTGCAGCTCCTGCTCCAGACAGGTATTTTTCCTTGGATTCTCCCGGAATCCACTCTCGGCATGAGGTTGAACCCTCCCAAAATTTCCCTGGATGTTGGGCACGGAGTCATTCCCACAGGGTGTTGAACCCTCTGCTCACACAGAGCCTAAAGAATCATGGAATCATAAAATCATGGAATGCTTCGGGTTGGGAGGGAGCTTAATTATCATGGAATTCCAACCCCCTGCCACGGGAAGGGACACCTTCCACTATCCCAGGTTGCTCCAAGCCCTGTCCAGCCTGGCCTTGGACATTTCAGCTTCACATCCACAGGTTCTCTGGACAACCTATTCCATAAAAAAGCACAAATCCTAACCTGTTCCATGAAAGCCCCTAATCCTGCACAAACTGGGTGCTGATCCCTCACCATGAGCATTCCCAAACCTTCTTGGAGGGTGACAGGCTCCAGTTTCAGCTTCTTCCTGCCAGGCTGTTGCCACAACAGCATTCCCAGACATCCAGGGAACACAGGAGTCAGAGAATTTGGGAATAAACTGGGAATCTGACCCCCTGTCCCCTCTCCCAGGGTCAATCCCAGCCTGTCCCCTCCCTCAGGATCATTCCCATCCCCTCCCTCAGGATCNGACCCCCTGTCCCCTCTCCCAGGGTCAATCCCAGCCTGTCCCCTCCCTCAGGATCATTCCCATCCCCTCCCTCAGGATCGTTCCCATTTCCTCCCTCAGGATCGTTCCCATCCCCTCCCTCAGGATCATTCTGTCCCCTCCCTCAGGATCATTCCCATCCCCTCCCTCAGGATCATTCCCATCCCCTCCCTCAGGATCGTTCCCATCCCCTCCCTCAGGATCGTTCCCATCTCCTCCCTCAGGATCATTCCCATCCCCTCCCTCAGGATCATTCCCATCCCCTCCCTCAGGTTCATTCCCATCCCTTCCCTCAGGTTCACTCCCATCCCCTCAGGATCATTTCCCATCCTCTCCCTCAGGTTCATTCCCGTCCCCTCCCTCAGGATCATTCCCATCCCCTCCCTCAGGATCATTCCCGTCCCCTCCCTCAGGATCATTTCCATCCCTCCCTCAGGATCATTCCCCTCCCTCAGGATCATTCCCATCCCTTCCCTCAGGTTCACTCCCATCACCGACGCAAGGCGCACAAACCGGCGCGGCTGCACATCCCGGAGGAATTCCAGCGGTGGAATTCCCGGCGGAGGCAGCCGATCCCTCGGGAGAAGCTGGAGCTCTTCGCCGTGCTCTGCATCGAGACCAGTCACTACGTGGCCTTCGTCAAGTACGGCCCCGGGAAGGAGCACTGGATGTTCTTCGACAGCATGGCCGACCGGCACGGTGAGCGCCGGCATTCCGGAAGCTCCCGGGAGCTGCTCAGCACACTCTTTCCCTCTGGAATTCCCTGCCCAGCTGAGTCTCTCTCTGGATCTTGCTCCCATTGAATTAGAGTCCAGAAAAAAATAGGGCCAAGCCAAGGTGGGAGTTCTTCCAGGAGCTTCCATCCATGGCCAGGCCAAGGTGGGAGTTATTCTAGGAACTTCCATCCATGGCCAGGCCAAGGTGGGAGTTCTTCCAAGAGCTTCCATCCTCTGGATACATTTAAGCAAATCCACCTCTGAAATTCCCTGTCCAGTTTAGTCTCTCTCTGGATCTTGCTTCCATTGAATTAGATTCCAGAAAAAAGTAGGGCCAAGCCAAGGCGGGAGTTCTTCCAAGAGCTTCCATCCATGGCCAGGCCAAGGTGGGAGTTATTCTAGGAACTTCCATCCATGGCCAGGCCAAGGTGGGAGTTCTTCCAAGAGCTTCCATCCTCTGGATACATTTAAGCAAATCCACCTCTGAAATTCCCTGTCCAGTTTAGTCTCTCTCTGGATCTTACTCCCATTGAATTAGATTCCAGAGAAGAGTGTGGCCAAACCAAAGTGGGAATTCTTCCAGGAGATTCCATCCATGGCCAAGCCATGGTGGGAGTTCTTCCAGGTGATTCCATCCTCTGGCTACGTTCAAACACAGGGATTTAAACCCAGTCCCAGCTGGGCATGGATTATTCTCCTCTCCTTCCCACTTTGTTCTTATCATGGAATGCTTTGGGTTGGAAGGGAATTTCGAAGGTCAAGGAATTCCAACCCCCATTTCCATGGGCAGGGACTCCTCCCACTATCCCAGCTTGCTCCAACCTGGCCTTGGACACTTCCAGGGATGGGGCAGCCACAGCTTCTCTGGGAATTCCATTCCAGCCCCTCCCCACCTTCCCAGGGAGGAATTCCTTCCCAGTATCCCATCCAACCCTCTGGCAGTGGGAAGCCATTCCCTGTGTGCTGTCCCTCCATCCCTCATCCCAATTCCCTCTCCAGCTCTCCTGGAGCCCATTCAGGCTCTGGAATGTGGACATTCTCCCCTCATCCAACCTCTTCCAGCGCTTTTGACCTCCAGGTGTCTCCGCTGTTGAGCGTGATGGGATCTCCTGGATCTGCAGGAGCTCATCCCTCGGGATCTGAGCCGGGCCTTCCCTCCTTTTCCCTGCCGTAGGTGGCGAAAGCGGCTTCAACATTCCCGCGGTGACGCTGTGCCCGGAGGTCGCCAAATACCTGGAATTGCCCTTGGCCGGGCTGGCCCTGGAGCAGCCCCGGGATATGGATGGAGTGGCCAAAAGGCTCTTCTGTGACGCCTACATGTACCTGTTCCAGAGCCGGAAAATGGCCCTGTACAAGTGACCCGGAGCGGCCTCGGGAATCCGGGATCGCTTTCCCGGCCCCTCGGGAACAGCCGAGTCTGGACGCAACAAGCTGCACTTGGGAGCCTCTTCTTACCTCTCCTGGTATCCCGTTATCCACAGGTTTGGGAAATCCAGGCTTTACCCCGTGGGCACAGCTGGACTTTGGAATTATTGACGCCCGGATCCCGTCTCGTTGCGCACATTCCCATCCCGCCCTTTTCCCTTCCCACCCTCCTTTTGTCCCGTCCCTCCGAAGCCGAGGACCAGCAGCAACCAAAGCACCGGGATTCATCCTCAGCTTTTCAGGGAGCACAAGGAATCCGCAGCCTCCCCTTCCCTGAAAACATCCTCGCCTGGATTTGGGGGAGTGGGAAAACCGGGCGGGAGCCGGTTGAGATGGATCAGGAGGAGGGGTTTTCCCTCTAAATCCCTCAATTATCTGCACTTCCCTTATCCAGCACTTTTTTCCCGCCATCCCTCGGGCATCTCAAGTTGAAAATATCCTTTAAAACCAGATATTCCTGGAAGAAGAAAACTGGGAGAAGGATGGAGCACCTGCCGCTCCCTCCCTTCGGCAAACTCCGTGCGGGATTCGGGGTTTCCACTTGACTCTTAAGCACTTCCCATCCCGTTTTTTTTTCCACGTCCGCTTCCAAGTTCGGTGCCAAACACCAGAATTCCAAGGGCAGAAATGGAAAAAAAAAAAAAAAAGCACCCTTGGATTTCCTGCCCCGAGTCCAGGAAAGTTTTGGGATTCAGTGGGAATTGATATTCCGTGAAGTTTAATAAATTCGTGAACTGGGGGATTCATGGACATGGAATTCCAGCGGCGGGACACCCAAAACCTCGTGGGACACCTCCAGGAATCCCGGATTTGCAGCTTTAACCCCCTCTCCCTGCTCTTTTTTTTTCTTTTCCCTGTTTAGCGCAGGAATTTTCCCACCCGGCTTCGGATCCGTCCCGGTGGCTCGGGCCACGCGGTTGAGGATCTTCTTGGCATTCCATCCCTATGGAATCCTTCCACTTGGATAAGTCCCACTTGGAGTTCTGGGCCTGGTTTGAGCTTCCCAGTCCGGGAGAGAGGAAGAGAATCCAAGGAAAAGCCGTGAAGGGATGAAGGGATTGGAGCAGGAGAGGCTGGAAGAGTTGGGGTTGGATGAAGGGACTGGAGCAGGAGAGGCTGGAAGAGTTGGGGTTGGATGAAGGGAC